CGGGGCTAAAATAGCCAACCGATGGGGGAGGGCGACCCCTCTGGGGTCGTGGTGGGAGAGCATACCTGACCTGCTGGCAGGCGGATGACCTAACAAGTAAATTTAACCTTGTTAGTAAAAGTAACACAAGTATAGTGACTCCCTTCGGCTGATGACTCCGATCGYCAAACTCAAGGGACCTCCCTCCGCCTACCGGCTTCGGTCGCCATACTCGATGGCCAGTTAGAGACTYAAGACCCTAAGAGTAACACAAGTTAACAGCTGTTGTATTATATGATAAGCGCGCCGCACGCTGCAATACGTACTATTTGTCATACAACCGCATACTTTGGAAGGCTATAACTTCTAAAATAATGGTTTGCACCAACTAATTTTTGCACCATCGTTCTAAACTAGTTGAAACACATGTTTCAATAAAAAAAATCGAAAAAATCGCTTGGGAGCAAAACTGCAATTGTACCAATTTTTTTGGTAGTCCTTTATAATTATTAATTTTTAATTCATCGAATTTGATTTACACCTCAATATTAATGACAAATATTTATTTAAATATGATTTGAATTAGTTAATTCTGTTATACAKTGAGTATAAAAATAAATTTGAGATAAATATCAACAATGTTGTTAGGTTTAGACAAATTAAAGAATTATTATATTGGATGAACTTTGACTGTGTCAAGTTTTAATTTTAAATTAGTTGTAATTTTGAACTATCTTATTAAATCATTTACAGCTAAATACATCAATATTTTTTTTAGATGTTGATTTCAAGATGAATTCAGATTGCATTATGGTATGTAAATTTCGATTATTTTCAATAACTATTAAAGTTAAGGTTACTTATGTCCAAGCTTATAATATTAACCTGGTAATTTCTTAAATATTATTTACCAATTAACCTTTATAACAAAAAAATATATATATATTATACCAAATAATTATCAATAATGATTTTAATTATTTTTACATTTTCTCGGTTAAATTGAACCTCTGTGTATACTAACATTGTTTTTCACAATGTGCATTATATATTATCTACTAACATTTTTGCTAATACATTATACTATATTATTATTATTTTATACCATTATAAGTATATTTAATATAATAGATAATATAACCAATAATTTTTATATTTATTAGGATACGGCTGATGATCTAATAAGTCTTCAGTATAGTTCAGATGATGAATCTTGGCCTATGTTATTGTCTGAACTCAATGCATACAAAGAAAAATTAACCTTAGCTAAACATTTACTTGCCGATCAAAATGATTTAATTTTCAATATCACTTCAAGATTTAATCTACTTGTTGAGGGTAAGTCTCATTATTTTATATTTATTTGAATCCAATACAAATTAATAAATTTATCATGTTTTTCTTCATTTACAGAAGTCAAAGTTATAAAACCTTCTGCAGAGTATCGAGATGCAGAAACATTAACTAATACTGCTTTTGATTCCACCACAGCTTGTATTTGTGGGGTCCGTGCAAAACCAGATAACCATAGTATATGCCCTTTATGTAAATTATACATTGTGGGATCTGAAGGCGATAAAATGTTTGATAAATTAGTTGAGCATGTAAGCAGTCATTTCCCAGATGAAGAACCTGAAACTATAATTGATAGTTTATCTGGACACTATTAAAAGCATTTGTRGCAGTCAAGAATCATTATTTTTATAGAAATATTTTTTATTTTGTTAATATTTATAAATGTAATATATCTACTTGATTTAATTAAATTATTAATCAAGGTGATGGATATTAATAAGATTGGTACAAATTTTATACTAAAAAGAAAAACTAGCTTAAGCTAATTCTGATGGCTGTACATCTTTTGAATCAGAGTTGCCAACAGTAGTCCTTTGTAATAAGTTTCTACAGAACCATGACGGTTTTTCCCGTTTAAGTTC